CCACACACAGCACGTAAGACAAGGTACTTTTACACTATCTCTGAGCTGATTAAGAGTAGGGAGGGGGTGACTGGGTGCGACCTCTCTCCTACAAGCGCAGCACCCCACCGGCAGCCACCGGATGGTCACTGCAACAAGGCGACGGAGACTTCCGCACCGTCCTAGTCGCGGCTGCCCGAGACACAGCCTGTCTGGTGAGGCACCCGGGGTTTCACTACATCACTTGCTTCTCTGGTCGTGAGCTGAGCTCAGCAGATTTGTGCACTATTACCCTGCGCACTAGGTCATCGTCTCACGTGCTTTCCTTTTGACTCTTTTTGTTTGTTGTTGGGCAAAAGGGCACAAAACGCCGGCGACTGTGTTAGCGGATGTTTTGGAAGGGAATCACGCACTCAGAAATATGCCCCTTCCCCCTCCATGCCAACACCCGTCATCAGAAACACAGCAGACGCGTCTTAGTCGCGTTCGCACCCGCCTCACGGCGGCCAAGGTCTGCTAAACCAATCTCCCTATAGGGCATTGACACACACACACCAGAAAAACATTGTGCTGATGGTTCATGAATGAGATCCGGCCTCTGCGGTGAGCGCGTTGGACCAACACGAGGGTCAGCTAGGTGTATGACAAGCTTTACCGGGAATGTGCATCCATATCATCCACTTGGATCCGTTTACCCGCCCAGCCTACTGCAACGTATGGAACCCACCAATTCGGATACAGTATCCCGACTGCTCAACCAGGATTTCCTACGCAATCAATCTACTATCCACCAGTAAGCTGGGCGGATAAATCGGCCCAAGTGTGATTTACCTCACGACTATAAGTGGGGCTTCGATAGTTCAGTTGGCTAGAGCGTTGGCTGTACTAAAGCCTTTACCTCGTTGGCGTGGGTTCGAATCCTACCGAGGCCGCAGAGTTTTTCACAACCGGATCAAATGAACTGTCGTTTGGCTGTAACTCGACTCTGGTGATGTTCGATCCATTTCACGACGACCGTAGAAAACCGCGACTACAGTAGGGAGTTTGTTACGAAAGTTAAAAAGTGCAAGTGGACTACCGAGGCGTATTTCCCGCTAGCATTTAAATTAGGCGTCCTTGAAGCTCTATGCCTTTCCAGTCGCACACGGGATTGGCTAAGCTACAACTAGGTTTTTACTCACTTTATGCTATTGTCTTTGGGTATGCAAAATCGCCTTGCCCTGTTTCGGTTATTGGTCAGCTTGTCATTTATTGCACAATCAAATTGTGCTCTTTTTCTCTTGATCCCCGCCTCCTTTCAGTTTAACCTGTGTACTTGCAGTTGCTATTGTGACATGGAATCTGATAAAGGGTAACTGTTTCCTAGCATCGAGATGCGTTTCTTAAGCGGTGTAGGCCATTTACTAAAAAAAAATCTCCCTACCTTTCGGATTCTCATTTTTCGTAGAGTGTATCCTATTTCCTCCAGATCTGTCTCCCATGGTAACTCGAGGTAGATCAGTGAACTTCACCGCCCCCGCGCTATGATTTATGATTTATTTTTTCTAAGGTGCAGCCTTCGCACTTAGATCGGTTGCGAGTGCAATTTTTGATCGAGTTCGAAGGTCAGCTGTGATCACACCTGAAGGTGGCCACAATTATTTCGCGGGCGTGACGACCAGTGGCAATGGATATAGCTATTCTGACCGAACATCTTCACAATAACAGAGATCTGTCATGTCCCGCGCCTGGTACTTGTAATTAACACAAACTGGGGCTTGTCTGTCTGTTGTTCCTTAAAGCGAGCACGGGTGAGGAAGGGAAAAC